TTAATGAGAGAGTTACTCAAAAAAAAAAGCCTCAGCACATAGAAATACAAACATATTTGACAAATGTATTTGTTTTTTCATCCAAACAATGGCACACTCACACTTTGATAATGATTCTTTGTTGTGTGTATGTGTTTTTTTAAAGGCTCTACAAACCCAATGACCCCACAGATATATCAACTCCTTCACTATCATGGTTTCTTTCTGGAATGCTAATAATAGACCCCCTTTTCATTGCACACACTTTCACTTGTCAAAGGAGGAAAAACACAGCAGGAAGTAACATTAATGAGGGCTGCATTCCATTTAGAGGAGCCGGTTCAGGGTCCTGGTATCGTAGATTGTGGATGTTTTCACTGCCGGGTTAAAGATGAGTGGATAAGAGTTCTAATTAAGCAGAATAATTGGAGGCACCTCTGTCGCTGAGCAGAGCCTTTCACTGTAGATGTTTAGATTCTTATCCGACACACAACGCCATCAGGGAGGTGTTTGATCAAACCCCAAACACACAGCCAGAGTTACAGTATCACAAACTACCGTCTGCAACAGATAGCAGGACAAAGCAGTATTAATTTATGCTCAGTTTGTTGTTTCCTTTCCACACAGCCGGTTCTTTGAGCTTTATGTAAAGCAGTGTATTGTGGACGTGGGTGGAAGTTTTGTACAGTAACAATGTCCTTAATTTCGTTTTCTTTCTCTCCCATGTTGTTTTCGTACCTAACAAGACTTAAATAAAGACGTCTCTTGCAAGCTATGGTGGAGGAATTAAACAAAACAGGTATTCATTAAAGAGCTGGCATTATTTCTGCTCACTGGCTCAAGGAGTAACCGTTAACTGTGTCTTCATAATGCGCTGAAATTGGCTACACGGGCAATTTCTGTCGCTGATAAAAATGCAAGTTAGAGAGGACTGTGTGCACACAGCAAAACCATGTTAATTAACAACTGGAATGAATACAGATGGTAGCGCTTCCTGTCACCTATGTGTCTGTATCTGTGAATACGCGCGTGTGTGTGTGTGTGTGTTGTAGACGCCTTCCTCTGTGTAATTGTCGCTTCTCTGCACTTGTTTAACTCAATCTGTTGTAAAAGATTGTTTTAAGATACGTTTTCTTTCACATCACACTCCCACACACAGACACATTCTGGCACAAAACACCTTCTTTATATCAACCACTTGTAACTGTTGTTTCACCGAGCTATTCGTTTCAGTCAGGCCAACAGAACACCTTCCACAGACACATACATTATTATAAGATGCAGATTACACACTTACCAATAATGCTCTAATGAACTGAGCTAACTTGTCACTCAAGAAAAACAAGTCACAGTTTTGCTGGAAACCACCCATCAATGTAGAGGCCTCACATTTGCAGCAATGTTCTTGTAAAACCACACAAATCTGTTATTTTAAGTCAAAACTAATATCAATAACTATTATCATTGGAATGCTGACACAGGAATTCTGATAATTGTGTATTTTACCCAGGAATCCCACAAAAACAACACTGTGGATCAAGATTTGAGTGCTCTAGATCCTTGGGATGATCTTTGCTATGAAGAAGGAATATGGGGGCATTATTGCAGCAAAACTATTTGTCCATGCGTATGGAGGTTGTCCGTCTGTATCTCAATCTGTGTGTCCGAAGTGAGATTTGTCAATGTGTAAAAGAAGTTGTCAATGCGAACCGGAATCTGCAAAAGTCGTCTCACAATTTGTCTGTAATCAGGTTTTCAAATGTGTAAAAAATCTGCTCATCTGTATTAAAATTTGGACATGTAGTAAGAGTTGTCAGTGCGTACAGAGTTGAAAAGTCTACGTATTTGAGTCGAGCAGCTTCACCATTGGCTGTCTTTTCACACATGACTTTTGCTGCACTTCTACTGTGAGAGAATCTGAAACTGAAAAGTATCTGAAAATCAGGGTTTCTGTGTCCTGAGCTCAGGCTCATAGGATCATTCATCGTGGCTGCTACCGCTGTGCTGCTCTGTACCTGAGTAGTTAACACCTCTCGGTGTTCTGAGAGCTCTGGTTTTGATGTACTGGCAGCAGATCCAGGTTGGACCTCAGTAGTTCTGACTTTTTTGCAGTTTGTCTCGCAGATGCTTGACTAAATTATGATCTGGGGAATTCAGAGGTTGGATCAGTGCTTTGAGTTCTTTTTCGTGTTCCTTGGGCCATTCTTGTTGCAGTGTGGCAGTGAGCATTGTTCTGCTAGATAGAAGGGGCCACAGCTGTCTTTGGGGTTGTGCTTCTGTGCAACAGCATTTAGTGGTACATGTCAAAGTAACATCCACGGCTCAAGGTTTCAAAGTGAAGCATTGCATTGTAATAAAATGATTCTTTCTATCTGTCAGCGGTTTACGTAAAGATCATTATATAAATACCATCACTGACATTTCATCTCTGACCTCATCGCTCTCTGCAGGAACACAGCACACCGAGAAAGGAAGAGTCAACAGGTGGAGGTGGGGTTGATTAGCAACAGCAGCAGTGACGGCAGCAGAGCTTCACCCAGAAGGTCAACAAAACTACAGTAGATGTCTTCGGTACGTAGGGAGTGCACATGGGGCAGAGCTGAACACATGCATCGGCTGCCTGAAGTGGCTCCATTAAAATATAAAGACGCTGCTGAGCTTCCAACGCAAGTCTTCCGTCTCTGCGTATGGTTTACCATCAGCTCTAAAATCAAATCGACATGATCAACGGGAGCAAATAAGAGATGCCTGCTGTTATCACAGAGCACAAGGCCTTTCAATTAAAAGCCTCCTCATTTAAAAAATAAAATACAAATCTGCACAAACCACAGAAATAAACATTAGATAATAAAATATTTGGGGAAATTATTTGACGGGATGTAGACGCCTGCATTTCAATTATTGTCCTTCACACACACTTTTCCACTCAACTTATGTCTTCCGGCGCAGATTTCAAAGATCTAATGAGCCTGAAAATATCACACTTTGCTTTTAATGAGAGAGTTACTCAAAAAAAAAAGCCTCAACGATAGTCAGATGTTTCAGTTTGAGCTTTGTTGAACCCTTATGATGAGCAATGTACAGTTTGATTTTAATCAGTCTGCTCTGGATTTAACTCACAAGTTGTACACTCTGAATGTTTTGCTGCAGCTTTAATGAGCTTTATATGAGTATGAAAGATGATTATTAAAGTGGTTTAACACTACTACAGGGCTGCTTCACTACTGACCCTTGCATAAATTGCAAAAGAACATATTGGTCTTGTGGCATTTGTGAGAATCCAACGTAAATATCAGGGTGAATGAGAAGAAAATAACTTTTACGGCGACTTTTCTCATCAGTTTATAAAAGTACGCTCTGGCTTTGAATTATGCAGCAGTGTTAATGTGACGAACGCGATGTTTTGATTAACGAAACAGCAATATTTCCTGCGAGTCTTTTGGCAGATTAACTCATCTACAAGGACGCGTAATCAATGTAGCTCATTAGAATAATTTTGACTTGCTAAACGGAATATGTTGTTCACAGCTCGCTTACACATCAAGCACTCGTCTCAGGAAAAAGAGCTTATTAAAGTAAAACATACAGTAGCTGTTATTTAAAGGCTTGTCGTGCCTGACATGTGGAAGGAGACAGACTTCCACTCTCACCACACCTCTGGTTATCTACTGGAATTGGAGAGAGCAGTGGCTCTGGGGGCAGAGATCAATAAAGATACCAGCAGGAATCCCCTGTGTAAATCACCACATATCATATATCCTAGAGGATCAGGTCATAAGGTTTCCCGTATCTCGATCAGATTCACAAGTGGAGCCACAGCTGCCTCCGTTCTGTTCAGCCTAATCCCAAGGAGCTTCTTGGAGTTGGAGTTCCAGTTGCGCTCCCAAAACTTGATTGATGAAATCAGCTCCAAGCTGCATTAAAGTCCCAGAGAAATGAGCCGGCTTGACGTTCTCAACTGGTTTCTTTGCAAAAGGTCGGCAGTGTCTGGAAAATGAACACTTGGGGCTTGAATACCAAAAACACAGCTCGTAAAGAATTACACTGAATGATATCCAGTCAACCACAGAACCCCAGGCACAGATTTATATGTTGAAATATTGCACTTACTGCGCAAACAGAGAGGTAACATTCACATTGAATGTTATTTTCAATTCTAATCATTTCCAATAAAGGCTGGAGGCATCCACCCATCCATTATCTATACACCGCTTAATCCTCACTAGGGTCGTGGGGGGCTGGAGTCTATCCCAGCTGACTCAGGGTGAAGGCAGAGGACACCCTGGACAGGTCACCAGTCTATCACAGGGCTACACTTAGAGACAGACAACCAAGCACACTCACATTCACAGATGATATGCCAATTTTGTTGCTGGACTGTGTGTGATGATGGAAGGAGGCGGGACACGCTGGCCAATAGTGGAAAAGGTGGTTTTCTTACAAACAGGGAGGGAGAGTGACGGGTGAGGCCAGAGGCAGGGGGCTGATCCAGCGGGGTAGGTTGGTGGACGCTGTAGCCAAGTGAGGGAGGGAATACGAGGGATCAGCGCTGAAGGACGGCTGTGCTCGGTGAGGTGCGCTGCTGCTGTTGGAACTCGTGACTGGAACCCAGTGGAGGTGACAGCTGGAGAGACGGAGGGAGACACATGGTTAAGGATGCGCTCGCACAGAGACGCATAGAAAAACTCAAGACTTCAAAAAGTCTAGTGCACAACTGAGACGCCAGGCTTTAACCAGTGCTTGATTGCTGATTGGCCACAATCACCTCCACTGGTTGGAGCCGCTCAGCCTGCAAACACAAAGCACACGACAACCTACACCAAGCACAGCCAGAAGTGAATTTCAAAATAACGGTGTTCCTACCACGAACACCACAGTGTGATGTTTGACAAGTTGGCCTGGATGCAGCAGCCCAAACATACGGACACTAAAAATACTTGACAAAATTGGAACAGTGAAATAATTTGTATGCAAATTATTTAATGGCTAAAACTGTGAGCACAACACTCTGATGACTGTGAAGAATTGCAGATTTGAATACTGGCAATGATGAAGAACTAAATGAAACTTTTCAAAAATGGAAGTGACTGTTCAACTTACCCATAAGGCATATTCTAATTTATTAAAAAAATAAAATAAAAAAAACCCCACAAATCAAACTGATTTGTGACAGCATAAATATACCTGCTGGTTCTGCTTTCAATTATAACCCTTCTCTGAAAATGCTGCACGCATCATCATCCCGGTGGAAAACAAAAATAGTTTGGAGACGGGACAGAGGATGTTGTGACGGGGGAGCAAAGATTTGCCGTTTCAAAGGGATTCCTTTCTCTTCCTCTCTGTCTTTTTGTCTCTGCTCCATCTCTTTCTTATGACACTAACTTTCGAGGACTAATGAGCCTGAAAATACCGAGCTTTAACTCTAATTGGAAAGCTGTAGCTTCTTAAGACAGTCTTTGAGAAAAGAGAGAGAGAGTGTTTCTAATCATTATCCATCAAGTCGGCGTTTGCGGCAGATGAAGAAAAACCTGTGCATTTAATTTGAGCAACCACAGCAAACCTAAACAGGTAAACAAAAGCTACCTATGCCTGCAGACTGATCTGATGGTATGAGGTTTGGTATCAGCGTAAAAATAGCAACCATCTTACTAACAAAATAATTGGACAAGATCAAGCCCTCTGTGTTTTTGAATATTCATCATTTATATTATTTTTTGGCACTAAAAGCTTTGTACGTTTGAGTTTTCATATTTTTTACACCCTATTATTTCAGGAGAGCAGATAGTTACCTATTACCTGAAAACAGCTCATTTGAACCTTGCAGTGTATACCAGCAGACTTAACTGCAGCAATAAATAAAAACCTCGTTTTTATGAACGATTTATTTCCCCAAAGACAATATTTTTTTTCTAGTGCCACTCATGCAATTTTGGAAATTACATTATGTCTGTTTTAATGCATTTTTAGGCATCCTGGAGCCATTCAGACTGAAAAAGAGAGAAAGAGAGTTACAGCAGTTTGGCTGCATTTAGGTACAACAGTTTTTGTGGCTGTGCTCCATTTTGGCTGTGCTGGTTGTTTACATGCAGGGGAAAGCTGCTTAAACAGGGTGCAGATGGTTCATGAGGAAGCTGGTAAGATGTTGGATCCATACCAGCTGATAATCAAAAGTGGATGTGTGACCAACCTAAATGTTTTTTACAGCTTTTAATTGTTGGCAAAGATGACACCCTTTCCCTTTGGACTTCCCTTGGTGATGTATACGTGTTTACCAGTCTGTGTGGCTCAGTATGTTGCAGGATAAGGTTGTAGGACTTTGCTTGCTATGCTGCACTGAGTCACTGTTTCGAGTCAGGATGTGCCATTTGTGTGCCATTAGAAACTGAGTGGAAACCACATTTAAGGTGGAGATCTGGTGAAGGCGATCGCATATGATTCAGAGAATTGGCATCAAACCATTCAGTGAGCCCTTGTGTCCTATGGAACGGGATACAGTCGTGACTCGATAATCCGACACTAAATGTAAAACCGTCTTTTATGTCGGATAGCAAGACTGTCGGATTGTCAAGACAGAGGTTGAGATACAAGGAGGGCTTGATGCTGGAAGGCTCATTAGTTGTTAATATTTATTGTTTATAGTTGTTATAATAACTAGTGTATTGTGAGAACACTACACATCGCTGGATTTCACACGTAATTGACCGGTGTGGTTGTGCACGGGCCGTTGGTTGACATCAAAGGTAGGTGGTCCTAAATCTGATAGGTACCTGATCTTTTGTCATGCAACTTCTGAGCGGCCAGGTCGCACTTATCCAACCTATATGTCATTGATACACGACAAACTAGGGCTGGGCTGAATAGCACTTTCTTGTCTCTGGATATTTGGGCCCAATTAATATTCGGGGGACCACTTCCAACCCGTCGGAGC